TTGTGCAAGCATTGGTATATTCGGACTTGCGCTACACCAACTGGCGCACTGGCAGTTGACTCGGCTGACAGATTGGCAAATTTGATTGGGCAACACTGCGTGTTTAAAGAATTGTCAGTTATTGTCGCACAGTACAAAAAAATCAGGATGGACTCCTGTCAGATTTTGACGAAATTGTCGTACGCGTTTTGTCGAAAAGCATTATTTTGCGTTGCGTGTTTTTTACGAGTCGGTAGCCGATGACGCAAAGAGGCCTTATTAATCAGGACATTGACGACACGCTTGTACTTTATCACCACAGTGACGTCTTTACGTAGAAGGTTATTGGCCAAACGTGATCTTTACGATTCCTTAGATCCTTTTTTTATTAAACTAGCAAATTAGGTTCTAAGTATAGAAAAGGTTAATTTAAAATGTATAGAAATTAAGAACATATCAGTGGTGCAATTAATCTAATTTGTTTAAATACATTCAAGCGATACGTGGTTTTATTTTATATATTTTATTTGCTATTATTCGCCGATAATTAATTCAAACTAATTTAACGTTTTATGTGAAAATATGTCCATTTCTACTAGGTAAACTTTTTAATAATTAGCGTTCTTTTACCAACACACAACTGCTTTGAACATAAACAGCGTTGCCCTGGCAAAAATGTTACACTTTTCCCTTACAAAAACAACTTACTTATTCTCCTACATGGTCAAAATTGGTTGACCAATCAATGTGTTTTCGAACTTGCAGTTCCCTCATTGGTTATTGCATGTTAAATTCATGTTATTGGATACTGCAGCTAGCAGTGAGTGCACAGTTAAGCAGTTGCGATATTTATCCCTTAAAATGAAAATCACTAGAACTGTGTACTTTGAGATTGCACTCTTAATGTGTTGACTTGGTTTTGCGATCAGTCGAAATTAATTCTTTCAACTGCAACTCCTCACGATTCACGCAACAATCGTCTGATTTAAGAGATAAATAATATGAATTAATAAACGCATTAAAGTGAAAAATTCATCTACTTAATTGCAAGGCGATCAACCGCACAGAACGCTGATATTAATTTAAACTGCACTTGTGGTGGCAGCCAGAGAATGCGGAGAGAAATAAGGAAAGAAAAAAAGAAAATGTAAAAACACACATTGATACAAATAAAATTTATTTGCTTTAATTTCCTGTTTTAAAAAAATGTGTTTTGTGAACATTAAAAAAACTGGAAGAAATTAAAAATTTACACCTGGTACAAAACTACCGATGAAGATCCAAGTGAATAGTTAGTTGACTGATATAGGCCTGTCTTATCATATCTATGGTGATGTGATCTCTCATCAGACAAGTTTATTAAATATAGTTACAAATTAATTCTTGAGAAATAAACCCCCACATGCTTAACAAAAACAATTCTGAAATAATTGGCAAGAAATTAGGTGTGTCCAAATTAAAAACTCTGAGAAATTTTCAGTATTTTTAAAACTTAGTTGAGTGATTCAAAATTTAACACCATCATGTCGTAGCTAATGATTGCAACTTTTTGTGTGTGACTTCTTATGAAATGTTTATTAAGAGCATTTTTTTGCCGTAACCTTACCTCGACTTCGAAACACAATCTATCATGCATTTACGGGAAATAGGCTGATATTACTACTAACTAGTCATTATTAGTAGCATTATAATATGAAATCAGAAAAGATACATTTTATTTATTTGACTTTATACCATTTTTGCAGCAAATTTGAATGTGACAATTTTACCATCGATGAAATATGATCTTGTATATTTAATGACCAATTATGAACATATCTCGAGAGTGTTGTGATTCTCGTTGATTCACATTCCCTAATCCGGTCGCTCCGGCCTCCGACACAGGGTTCCTCTTTTCGTAGCATGTCGTCAGCCGCGCGGATCCTCATCTCGCCCTTCATTCGCACGAATAGTTGTCTTTGCTTATCCTCACACATGGGTCTCGATGTTAGCGCATGTATGACTCACACATCCGAGGTACAAATACGCACGCGCAAACCCCTTCACACACGACACAACGACACCAACGTGTTTGAGCTCTGGAGTGAACGGTTGTGTCCACGTCCTCTCCGATCGTTTTCTTCATCGCCGGTATCAGGGAAGCGTAATCGGATCAGGGTTAATTCAGTGGCCCCGACGTGGTTCAAGACCACGTCCTGAAGCTCACAACAGGAGAATTTACTAAAAACACTCAGTTATTTTAGAAACTGGTAATAAGCTGCCTGGAACACAGCATGTCTGCTTTTTCGTCACTTGACTAACACCAATCCGGACATTCAATTCAAGGTCACACATGTTTTGGTGTAAACAACTTCTGCCAATTAAATAGGTTTAACTAACGTTACATTAGGTGATATCCCTTTTTATTGGCTGATTTCAGAGATTCGTAGAATATTAAATTATTTGAACGAGGTGTTTAATTAAACAAGCGGATCTCGCCTTCTCATTGGTTAACTTAAATAGGCGCAGTTTATCCTCAGGACTGGGAAGTGTTGACGTCTATTGTTTATTTCCTCTAACTTCAAATTCTCGCGTGCTTTAAAATGAATGTTATCGGCTCAGTTGATTTAGTTCCCAAAACCGAGTTTTGTTGTTCTGGTCATATTCGGACTTGCAAAATGACTGTAATTATCATCTGGCTAAAAGCTATGAATGCGCCGATGCTGCACAAAATCCACTGACATAGGTTTTTATTCAAATCGCTATGTAGCAAAACAGGCTGGGAATTCTCTTTTTTTCGCACGTCCAATTTCGAGGTGATGTGGTACCCTCCTCGTCACTGAAAAAACAAGGAGGCTGACTCATCTCTCCTGCCTTCGATGATCTACGCTAACCTGTCTAAGACGTTGGGAGTAAATTCGCACATACAAAATCATCAATATCAACCGACCAATCAGCGTTGAAACAGCTGATCAACTCTGAGTGTGTACGGTGATGTTGGCACACTTTCTCGAAAAACTTTTCGAGTTTACGTGCTGCAGCAACATTTTTTTTAGATTACACCCGATTTTCCCGACGCAAATCATCCTTTATTGATTACTGGTTGGTCCGCTTCGCAAGATTTTGTAAAAACCAGTTTCGATTATATGAAGGAAGCACGTGCATGTCAAAAATGGTAGTGCGGGTAAATAATTTGAAATCGCAAAGCCGTTTGGCAGGAAATTTCAAAATGGAGGTCATTCAAAATTTCCACCTGGAAACTTTTAGCCCTAGCCATGACGCAGCGCCTCAGTCTTAAAACGGCGTTCACACAGGGTTGTTAGTTGAAGCAGCAGAAGCCTAACGTGTCGATCATAGCCATCTGACGAAATATGCGCTAGAATTACATAAACAGAACTGAAGGTGTAAGTGGTTTTTGCCGCGTCAAGGTGATCGTGTTCGGTCATGTCTGACCTCGTTTTTGGACACCGATTCTCAAATCGTCTCTTTTCAGGCGATGACACTCAGTTTTTACGTAGAAACTTCGCCTGTTTGCGATATTTCGGTCACGATAACCCGAGGCATGGAATATTCAGTCACAGGACACTGGGCGTCAAACTTGGGTCATGTGGAGTTGGTTGCGTCGTGAGCGTCTCGCCACGCACACCACGTGATCGACACGCGATTGGTTGATGTGGCTATTTTTAAACCAGTCAGTATTTTAAGTTAACTGTTGCTTTTTTGACTTCCGACTTGCTAATTAGGACGCAGAGGACCTAAAAGCGACTAATTATGTGCTTAATTGTAGGTCGAGAGCACAAATTATGCTAAATTTATTTACTTTGATGGTTCTTTGTCGCGAAATGCAGTCATAACGAGTTCTCATAGCAGTTAACCCACAAGACTGCAGTAGTCACTGGTTGTGTTTAAATACGGTTATTTAACTGATCAACCAATCATTGATTACGTAGAAATGGACAATAATTTATGGACATTTTTTTTCAGATACTGAATATTTTTATATACTCTGAGTGTCTATCGGTGTACTAATCATGGAAAAATGAACCAACAGAGTTAAAATGCGTCATTTTTAGTTTTAAATCTGAAATATGCCTTTTCAAATTTGGCATTGTGTCAACTATGGCTGCAGTCGTGTTTACTTGTGATGTTTTATGTCAATATGGCAACGATCAAAAACCAGATTATACAATGAATGTCTACTTTTGTTATTCAAGCGGGCAAATTTCGTTTTGTGGCATTTTAAATTTACTCGATTAGCCAAAAGTGCATTATTTTGCACGGCACGAGTAAATGCCGTCGGAAAAAAAGAGGGTCATATG